CCCCCCCCCCCTTCAAAATAATCCTGAATCTGCCCCTGTAACATAATACATGTTTGCAACAAAATTGTTTCTGAATCCACCGTTTACAAGTGGTCAGTTAATGAATTGATATGATACTCATTATTTCTCATTTACAGTGGGACGGCTCTTTGGGCAAGTGGACATATAATGGTATGAAGAATATGCCACATGACATTGATTCAGATAGTGATGAGAATGCGAGTGATGATGATGATGAACGCTGTCCCAGAAGGAGCAAAAGACTAGCATCCTTGACACGTAGACTTGACCGAAGGCGATTACCTGTACATGGAATATAAATGCCTGAATACCTCTTTCTTATATGTGTTAACAACGGAAAGAAAAAGGTGTGCTCATGAGGGGTGGGGTATTTAAACAGAAACATATATGTGGGATACACCAGATCTGCAATTGAACTGCCATGCACCCTCAGTTGTGTACAGATTTTTAAAAGACCACATGGTTTATATTCAAGGCTTACTCACCAAATGTTATATTCTAACATGCTGTCATCATTTTAAAAGTTTGTGATTATCAAAGTTGTTTCAGGAAAAATGGAATTAAACTGTTAAATGATTTTAAAGAGAAGATTTAAGATTGTCTTTGCTGAGATGACATGGTTATAATGAACCAGCACTAATTAGAATCCATACTTATATAGATAAGATGGACAGATTTTTAAGGTAACTTTTCTGTATCACTTTTCTGTATCACACAAAGTACATATGTGTTTTCACAAAATGAATTAAAATAGCAATAAAAAGGCATATATGAATGCTCGTGCCATGCCCTTTAAGTATGGAGGGTAGTATTTAGATTTTCTTTAGATTTAGTTACCATAAAAGATAAGAAGAAAGAAAAACTTGCAAATGTGACATTTAACCAAAATAAAACTAAAATGAAGAACATTTTTGGTTACAAAAATAATATTCTATCTTGCAGGTGATGCTGACACTAATTCTTTGTGATTAAGAAGGTCCTTGAATGCAAAGCACGTTATTTATTCTCTGAACTTTGAACTGAGTTTGGGTGCCTACCCTGTGGAATAAATAAAATATTGGTTTATATTTTAAGCCTTTGTTTTCAAATTTCTCTTCTTTTTCTTTGCAAGAGAGTCAAAATTCAAGATACGTGTATGGGCTATAGCTCTGTGGCATTTCACCTGTGTTTTTGGAAAAGTGTGGTATGTAAATGTCTACCTGATCTATTGGACTAAGCTAGGTGGCATGCTGTGGTGAGAGTAAAAGATTCTATGTATAGAAATTTATACTCCCAAACAGCGATTCAGATTTTATATCTTTTTTTTCTTTTTTTTTTTTTTTTTTTGGGGGGGGGGAGACAGAAAGGTTCATTTCAAAATTAAAAGTATCCCACACGGGGTGTTGCGCCAAATCAAATATTTTCCCAAGGAAAATAGCAAATGTCTCCATTGAATTTAATAATACAAAAATGTTTCTTGTACCTTTTAACAGAGAAGTAGAGCTTTTAATAAGCTTGAAGTTTTAAAGATAAAAGCACACGCCCCTTCACGTCGTCAGTATGAATCAGTTTGTGAAAGAAATCAGGTCAAACAAATGAGTTTTTCGTAAATGTTTCGTGTTTCAAAAATATTGAAAATACCCATATCAAATGTCAAGGTAATGAATAATTTAAAATCAGTCAGTATTGAAAAATAAAAATGCTAACCAAAGTTGCAAGTTCGGTTTCCCTGCGCAGTGCAGTCGGCTAGGGAATTCCCAAATGACGTCACACTCTTAAGGCATGGCGCATGCGCATAACAAGTAGGCAAAGGAGCTTGTTAGGATTACTAGTGTAGTTGCCTCTTGTGAAATTCAGAATGACCTAGCACTTTTAAATATTGTTATTCTGCTAAATTTTTTTTCGCTTTCCAATTTTGCAGATTTAAAGTTGAATCCAGCTGAAGGCTAAAAGTGAGTGCCCTTTATTCTGACATAAGTTATATTGATAATCATAATTCATGTTTTTTGACGTTTGGACAGAGACTATAAATTATAATTCACTAAATCAGGGGAGCGGGTGAAAAGGTAAAGCTCGGTCAACTTTTAAGTGTGGTCGACCTTGAAGTACCAGGGTTGCTTCGTTGGCTTTTGCTGGAAAGCACTTAGTTTCATGCGTTAACGTTCTTTTTACGGTCTCTGATGTATGTATGCACTACCGGTATACGTGCTGCATGAATCATGGAGGAAATATTAATATTTATCATTGTAAAGTAAAATATTGCTTCAAAAAGATCCAAGTGGTATTATTAATTGTATTTTATCTGGAAAGTCTGTTGGCTGTGAACCACTATAGATACTGGTTGAGTTAGCCACATTTTAAAACTTCATAGATTGTACACTGTTTTTTTCATACAAAATTATTAAGTCTGCTTTAATACAAGATTTCTGTTCTTTTCAGTATTTGTGTGTGTGTGTCAGAAATGACCCAGTTTACAACTTGACGGTTGACAGAAATTTTCTGTAATTTTAGGATGGAGCCATGTATGCCACTGCCTGTGAAAGAGGACGAGTTGCAGGAGCTGGTTTCCATGGCAAAAGACTGGGCCCTCACTCACGGTGAGTTGTTGAGTCAGTCAGAGTCAGGTGCGCTTCAATAGTCTGAAGGTTCAGTCCTCCAAAAAGGTTTTTAAAAAATGAGAACATATTTATCATTTGTATAAGAAAAGGTTTAGTTGGTGTAGTGAACATTCAAAGCTATGAATTTTTGGACTATTGAATGCCTCGGACTATTGTCATTCACCCAATGAGTCAGAGAAAAAAGGGACTGTCAAAAAATACTCTGCCTGATTAACTGTCCACAGGGTACAAAACTAATTTCTTTTAATTTCTCAGATATTCAAGTTTGGGTTGTAAATGTCTTAATTACCTTTTATAGCACACACATAATTGATTTTGATTTAAATATTATTAATTTGGTTTAAGAATGGGACATGATGGGTATGTTTGTCAGTCCAAATACTCACCAGAGAGAAAGTGCCCAGGCTTCACAGGTGCTTTGTCCATGCCCAGATTAGATCTATATGTTATAGCTTTACCAACAATTACTGTTATTATTATCATTATAGTATGTATTATTTTTAGGAAACACTATGCGCACTGCAGACAGACCAACGTCATCAGAAGTAACTAATTATGCCCCTTTTCTGCTTCTGCCTTCACCATTCCCAGAGCGACTTTTTCACCAAGCATGCGCAGTGCAGCAAGACTTTAATCTTCTCTATCACCGAGTAGCACACGACCATGACTTTCTGCAGTCAACTCTCCAGAGGTAAGAGAAGAGTTTAGCTGCTCTTCAACTCTCATGCTAAAATTGGTATTCAAAATTAACTTCAGCTTCTTTGAAAGTTTCTCAGAGTATGCTGTTTATTTTTCTCCAGCAAAACCATCCCTTTCTGAACATTGATTCCTTTTATTGTTGATAGTTTAGTCATATGGTTTAAGTTTTCCATTTATTTTCTTCACATGCAAATAGACTGAGAAGAATTTGGTTAATTTTTTCCAGTGCAATTAAAGTGGATGATTTCACCAAGAGATTGTGGGACATTTATGAGACAGTGAGAAAGGAGGGAATTAAACAGGTAACAAAGCACCAGGAAAAGTTATATATACCTTTAATTACACTACCCCAGTGTATATACACACTTTCCTCATTCTGAAATGTATTTTTATCTATAGCCTTTCAATATGTGACCCAGCATGGTGGAAAGCAGTATTCACTAGAAGTGGTTTAAAATTAGAAATCTTGTCAGATTTGTAAATTGGAATAATTTTGATTGATTTTTACTTTCATGAAAATTACAGTAAAATAACTCAATTATAAAATCACAGTTAAATAATAATGACAGTTTGCTTGTTTTTAAATGTTTCTTTATAATAAAAGGTCAACATGTGAATGAATATATGTTTTTTTAATACCAAAAATGTGCTTCTTAAAAACTTTTAACCTTGAAAAATCCTCCCACTAACTGTCACCTTATATATTTCAGCCTGTGAGTCTTGCTATCAACAGAAATGATTTTATGACTGACTCTCAGGGTCGCACCCTCTCCACCCCGGAAGATGTGAACACCCTGGGGATCAAAGAGGTTGAGTTTAACACTATAGCTTCAAGTTTTGCTGGTCTAGAAACTCAAGTGGGGCTTTTCCACAGGTAGAGGCAATACTTAGCTTTAATCAGGTGAAAATGAGAATGAATTTTGGTTCTGTAAGGATTGTGTTGTCAGATACGTAGTTTCATTAAATTTTCAGCAATCTGAAATATTTTGCCTCTGTTCCACACTTAATATAAGAGTCATTTCAACTTGGCTCTCACCAATGTTAAGAAAAGAAATCAAAATTAATGAATTGATCCCATACCAACGTTGCTATAGAATGGGGGAAATACATGCCTTTCGATATAATTGTTTGATGTTTGGGCTTATGCTGATATTCTATATAAAGTAATAGTACATGTAGAAACTGTTGGTGACAATGAAATGTAAGCGAATCTATGACAAAACTGTTGAGTTACAATACATGATGAAATGCTTTTTTATTTTAGGTTTATACTTGAAAGATGTGGTCTGGCAGACAAGGTCAACAAGGTATGTGTTTGGATGCCACATTCATAGCCTGCTTACAAACATACTGTAGAGCAGTATAAGGACAATCCCCCCCCCCCCCCAAACAAAAAAAAAAAAATAAAGCTGATGTCGGCACGGTCAAGTTGCATCTCTATGTATGTACATAGCAATCGCACCCTATCCTTCTTTAGAGTTAATGAAAATGAAGGATTGTTTCCCTGGCGAACAACGAGTGGAGTATAAGTGTTATACGTGTTATATTCAGTTAATTAGAAAATAATCAGAATACAGCTACGTGTTATAGAAACTATTATATATACTAGATAGGAAACGATACTTGGTATTCTCAGTTGCGTCGTTCTAGAAGGCTACTATAGCTTAATCCCGTCTCAAGTGGGCCACATTTTGTTTTGGTATACGAACATAGCATAAGAAATGAAAGCAGGCGGCCTTTTTAAACGATTTGTGAAAATTCCTGCAGCCAACTGTTAGCCTCTGTGAAACGGGCCCACGCAGTGCATTCAAAAAAGGGTTTTGAATGGCTTCTACACTAAGCGAAAGAAGACTGAATGCTTATACATTTTGAATAAAGCTAATATATATATATATATATATACGGTTATGCTNTAGCCTGCTTACAAACATACTGTTGAGAAGAATAAGGAAAAACCCCCCCCCCCCCCCAAAAAAAAAAAAAAAATATATATATATATATATATATATATATATATATATATATCACATAAATCAGACTTCTCTGACACTGACACACCTTCCACAGTGACACAATAGCCTTACACATTGACATTTACCAGGTGTCACAGCCAACATTGAAAAAATCTGTCATATCTTCAAACCCCAAATTGGTGAACTTTTTCTCTTATTTCAGCTACCTGCTAATACATGTGTGCCAGGAATAGCTGGTGGTATGGTCCAGGCTTGGGAACTGTATGGCAACACAGAGTAAGTCATTCAGTGTTCATAAGTTTTCTTGTTAATTAAGTCAGCTGATAAGGCAGCTTGGTGTATGGGATTTACTTTACCTATATATGTATGTATGTATGTATGTATGTATGGCCTTGGGTTACTGTGTGCGTGCCCATGTGCATGATTTGTGGAGTTTTTATTGACATTTATTATAAAAGCAGCATAATTTTACAATATTTCCTTGAATTGCAGAGCGGTGATATTGTTTTTGACGGAGACTGTTTCGAGAAACATATTTGACCAGCGCTGGCTGGAGTGGGGAATATATGAAATCAACAGCAAGGTGAAGGTCCTCAGAAGGAGTTTCGATCAAGTTTACAGAAAGTCGCAGCTCACTGAGGATAACAAATTAATCCTGTAAGTTATTGCTTGAAATCAAGTTAAGTAATCGAGTTATGACCTTTAAAGAAATTTGAATGTTGTTTTTATGATTGATACAAGTCTCAGAAAGGTGATTGAAGTTAGAAAGCAGAATATAACTAGTTTATTTTATTGTCAAACAACACAACATTCCTGGTAACAGATATCTATTCCTCTGCTTAAATGGTGATGAATAGACCAAAGAAAAACATTTGGTTTTCACTTTTGAAAAGCCCCATTACTGCACAAGAAACCAAGCACCTTTTTACCTCGGAGCTGAAAATGTATTTTTATTCAGAATTTGGACTGAAAAGTTACATACCTGAAAAGAATGAATTAAAAACATGCAGACTTCATCAGCTCGTGTCCTGTATTTCAGTGAAGGTCATGAAGTTGCTGTAGTCTACTTCAGATGTGGATACTCCCCGAATGACTACATCACAGAGGAGGTAGGTAGACGAAATAGGTGATGGGTGTTTGTAATTCATTTATAAAGGGTTTTGATAAGACTGGTGTTATTTAATACGGTAAAAGTCCATTAAGAATTTATCTTTCAAGAGTTCAGTGCAAATGCTAGAATTTTTAGTGTATTACTGGTACATGTTCACTTAAAAAAGTCAAGTCTTCAGTCTTGGGGGTTGTAATCTTGGGAAATGTAGTATATTAGGAAGTTATCAATCTTATTTGTTTTCAGAGCATTAGTCTAATTGAAAATGTATGACTCTCATTGTAGACTACCAAAATATGCAGAGTAAACTTATGCTTATTCCCAGTCCTTCACAGATACCACAATTTTTATGTCCCTTTGTATGATAATACTTACAGCCAATGATAATTACCAAACTCCATTCTAGGACTGGACAACCAGGCTAAGGATAGAAAGGTCCACTGCCATCAAGTGTCCCAACATCTACTATCATCTGGCAGGTGCTAAAAAGGTACAACAAGAGCTTGGCAGGCCGGGAGTGGTGGAACGGTTTATACAGGACTCTGAGGCTGTGAAGAGAATTAGAGCAACTTTTGCTGGCATGTACTCCCTGGAAAGGGTAAGAGAGAGAGAGAGAGTATTTGTAAAATTCACAATTTTCCCCATGGAGAAGATTGGGTCATTACTGTATTTACACATTCAATTAAAAGATTACTATCATGATGATAATTTTGAAGGTAGTTGACTGAAAAAAAAACGTCATAGATTACTGACACCCTTGTAATCTCCAGGATGCTGAGGGTGATGCCGCTGTTGCCATGGCAATGGAGAATCCATTCAAATATGTTCTCAAACCTCAAAGGGAAGGTGGAGGTATGTAAAAACTTTTCTGTGATCTTCATGTGACAAAAGACATATCAGACTTGCAAAAATTTTAAACAAAGAACTGTTTCAAGCATTAGGATGTGATTGTTGGTTATCTTTGAAATCACAAGACTCATTTGCAAAAGTGGTTTAAATCTTGAATAAGTGCTTTGGAGTAACACACTTGTATTTTGGGCCATGACAAATTTTTTACCCAACTTAGGACACTGAGTATGAAGTTCTGTGAAAAAAATTTCCCCATTGTTTTTTATTACTGAAGAAAAAAAACATGTCTTGTAACATACACATCACACAGGTTAAAAATATGTATATATATATATATATATATATGAACAGATGTTAAAAATACAAACTTATTCTTGTGATGATGACGATGATTGTTGAGGTATTTATAAATTGACAGAAAAATTATTAAAATATGATTTTATATCAATTCAGGAAATAACTACTTCGGAGAAGATGTCAGAAAGGTGTTGGAGCGTGTGCTAGACAGTGATGAAAGAATGGCATACATTCTGATGGAGAGGATCCATCCTGTGCCTTTCCAGAACTACGTACTGCGTGCTGAATCTCCTGTACAACCCAATACCATGCTCAGTGAATTGGGTGTATATGGGGTGCTTATTGGGTGAGTGAATTGGGAATATACGTGGTGCATATACAACAGAATTGTGATATACAGGGTGCTTATAGGATAAAACTGGGAGAATACAGTGTTCACTTATGGGGAGGTTAATATTTAGAATTTTACCCTTTTTATACCAAGGGCTTAAGAATGAAATGTGTCAGTCACTTTTTCTCTATTCTTTACTGATATTAGCCTACACGTTTCAGGCTTCTTTATCAGTCATTTTGTTTTTCTGGCTTTGCAAGTGTTTGAATTAATGTATTTGGTTCTTTGACTACACAAAGGAAAATGAAAATGATCACACCTATTTTCTTTGTTTCTTTTACAGGACCTCTGACCGTATCATCACTAACAAACAGTGCGGGCATTTACTGAGAACCAAAACCTCGGACACCAATGAAGGGGGCGTGGCAACAGGCTACTCTGCTATAGACAGCCCGTATTTAGTATGATGCAACAGAACTTTCTGTATACTGTCATTATCTTGTATAGCAGGAGAGATCAGATAATGTTGTTAACTACTGTTAATTTTAGTATAAAAACGGGATAGAATACACACTACTATAAACAGTACTTATTTTTAAAAAATTGATCGAAATCATCATGGTTTATTTAGTACTTACTGGTGCTGAATGGGGAAACTGATGCGGATTTAAAGTCAAACAATTGTTTTTTTCTCAGGGTTTCTGATGTTACTTTGGACCATTTACTGATCTGAAAATATCACTGTAGTGAACAATGCTAAAAACATTCCTATTTATAAAGGGATCATAACACACTAACTCAGTAAGACAAACATAAATATGTAGCATTGCCAATAGAAGTAAAAAGCAAGAAAAAAATGCATTTAATCAGCCAGAAATGCAAGACGAGTTCTGGATAAGCATCACTGCCATATTTCAAAAATCAAGTTAACATGTCTATTGTAATATTGTTCCTTGCTGGAGGTGCTTCACCCCGAGTGAGGTGCTGGTGTAAAAGATCCGGTTGGTTCAAAATGTAAAGCTTTAATAAAAGGGAAAATGTGCAAGATTACGCAGAGTTGCGTTTGTTATTTAATTAACCGACACCGGCAGAACTTAGCCAGTGGAAATACGCGCCAGGATTACCATTTTGAAGAAGGTAGCATTTTTTTTTCATTATTTCGAACGATCTTACTAAGTTCATATCATTGATGTTTGCTGTGAACAGTTCATTTTGTCATTGTGACATTTTGAATGGGTTGCTTTGTTCTATTATACTCGGTAGAGTCCATCATGTTGGATCCGTTCCTACAGTGTATCAGTTGTTTTAGTATTTGTTTAAACAAATTACAGCAGAAGCCGCCAGATTTATTACTCAAGATCTAACAGAAAGCCGCCAGATTTATTACTCAAGATTTCAAATCCTGTGACCCTGGATGTGTGACTAGAATGTTTTGCGACTTACAACACACTATCAGTCAAGAGCGGAGGAAATAGCTGTGTTAGGCTTTTCCATGTGGGTGAAGGGAGGGGTGTGCTCTATACCGCCTTATTCGTATCTTCACGGCGCATTTATGTCAAGGTTTCCCAGTATGCTGGTTCCGAATCCACAGAAACATTGTAACATTGAATGTCATCTTTTGTATTGATGTGTATATGCCCGCAGGAGCAAGATGACGCAGCTAACAGTTTTCAAAGTTTTTCCCCTAAATCGCACAATATATTATAGGATAAATTATTCTGTGTTTCAGACGGTGTACATTTGGGCATATAAACATGCGGAATACCAGGGGTACTGCAGTCAGAGTAGTACAAATATGCTGTTGGCAAACCGCAACGTTGGGTTCGTGTCAAAAACGACCCAGTTTACAATGTTATGGTCAACACAGATTTTTTTGTAATTTCAGGAAGGAGCCATGTATGCCACTGCCCCTGAAAGAGGACGAGTTGCAGGGGCTGGTTTCCATGGCAAAAGACTGGGCCCTCACTCACGGTGAGTTGTTTTGTCAAAGAAGGAAGGAAGGAAGGAAGGAGGGGTTGCATTTGTTATTATATCATATCACAGACAGTAACTTCCATTTTTTGTCTTGTCAAAATTTTGACTGACTTTGTCTTCATCGAAACAGCCACTGATTAGGTTTTTCGCGCATGTGAGATTGCCCACTGGAGTATCCCACGTTGGGTGGGAGGGTTAGGGGGGTTAGGGATTGTGTTATGCTCTCTTCATACAGAGTCGTACAGAACTTAACTCCATAGATACTAAGTTGGGTTTGTAAATGCCTTGCCTATACACAAAATTGGTATTTAATTTAAAAGAACAGGAATGTTTGACAGCACATATAGGAAAGTTGATCAGTTTAAATCCTGGTTCCAGTACCATAACTCTCCCGCATCGTTACAATTTCAAACATAGCTATTATCTGACAGAATAGCTAACCACCTGATAAAATTCTATGACCCTTAATTTTAAAACATATAACAATAACTGAATTTTTTTAAAGCGTACCTCCCCCAGACTCGAAACAAAGTGAAAAATCTTGTGTATCATCATTCAAATAGCGTCAAGGAGAAGTTAGGGTTCTGGGTTGTATCGATGATTTTTGGTAGGGGGAGCAATAGGCCTACAACGGTGTGGGGAAGTACATAGGACACGCAAAATACTCACCAAAGCTTAGGGACCATTCCCACAGATATTTGGATCGATCTATCTCCCTGAGAAGTCTCACTCAATTGCTATCAGCTTAAATGTCTGTCACGCTTAGTAAAGCTGCCAGGGGGTAATCTTTACCCCCTGGCTGATTTGGTAGACGTGACAGACATTTAAGCCGGTTAGTTGATAGCAATTTAGTGAGACTTCCCGGGGAGTTAGACCGATCCAGATGGATCGATCTAGGCATGGGAAACCAGTCTTAAATGCGCTGCTTTTGGGTAGTTGGCAGATGTTTGATCTATTGCTGTTATTGGCGAGCTCAGTGGCAGTGTGATATCGTTCAATTTGTATTTTTTTTAGGAATCACTATGCGCACGGCAGACAGACCAACATCATCAGAAGTAACAAATTATGCCCCTTTTCTGCTTCTGCCTTCACCATTCCCAGAGCGGCTTTTTCACCAAGCATGTGCAGTGCAGCAAGACTTCAATCTTCTCTATCACCGAGTAGCACACGACCATGACTTTCTGCAGTCAACTCTCCAGAGGTAAAACAAGAAGGGTTCAGTTTCACTGGAAGTTTCGATCCCGAAGACTAATGATAAAACAGATAGTCAAAATATAACTTCAGCTTCGTAAAAAATTACTGAGAGCATAAATTAGTCTTTTTTCCCCAGCAGACTGTTCCTTACTGAAAAGTCATGGTCAATCTTTTATTAATGATCCTTTATAGTTTTGTGTTTGATATTGGATAAGTAAGCCGTTTTAAGTGGTTGATTGTTTTTATTATTTTAATGCAAAATGACGAAGACATATCATATATTCAGTATATATTGTTTTTTTTTTTCAGTGTTATAAAAGTGGATGACTACACCAAGAGATTGTGGGAAATTTATGAGACAGTGAGAAAGGAGGGAATTAAACAGGTGACAATTAACCTGGAAGAGTCAAAAGAATATATACATGTCTCCAGACAGTATTTTTATACGGAAAACTGAAATTTCTATAACTGAAGCCTTTCAATATTTGACAAAGTAAGGTTAAAAAGAAAAAAAAGCATGTACACGTGTACTTTAAGTGGCGTAAAAGCGGGAAACTTGTTACAAATTTGAAAAACTGGTCTTTTGCAATTGATTCCTCATTTTCACATCGAACGATTATGAGAGATGCCTTGATATATAATAATTACAATTTTCTTTATAAAATCATCATATGAATATATGATACATGCGAACCATAAGTATGATTCTTGAAAAACCGCATTAAAATTGTGAAAATTGCCCTTTTGTTCACTAACTGTGTATATTTCAGCCTGTGAGTCTTGCTATCAACAGAAATGATTTTATGACTGACTCTCAGGGCCGCACCCTCTCCACCCCGGAAGATGTGAACACCCTGGGGATCAAAGAGATTGAGTTTAACACTATAGCTTCTGGTTGTGCTGCTTTAGCGACTCAAGTTGGGATTTTCCACAGGTAGAAGTGATACGTTTGGGGGCGTTTAGATGCTTCTTGTATTAAATTGGAAAGTTTGGTGTGTTGGTCAGCTCCGTAGGGAGATACCACACCTTCGTCAATTTTTCAACAATGCAAAATGCAAACCATTTGTGACAAACAAATATATCATACAAGTACATACATGATGAAATGTTGCTGTATTTTTCAGGTTTATATTTGAAAGATGTGGTCTCAAAGACAAGATTAACAAGGTATGTGTGAGATTGTCACACGCTCTACAGTACCTAAAATGTACTGTCATAGAATTAATTAATTAAGCGCTCTGCATTGTTCTTTACTAGTGACAACCATTGTTCTAATTGGATTGAATATTGTGGTAATGCAATTTTAATTCGCTCTTCTTTCAGCTACCTGCCAATACAGGTGTCTCAGACATAGCCGGCGGAATGGTTCAAGCTTGGGAACTGTATGGCAACAAAGAGTAAGTCACTGAGTGTTCACTCTTTTCTCTTATTAGATTATTTGACGAAGCAACTTTGTGTAACTGTACGCTATGTATAAGTTTAACTTTAGTGTTGAGATGCTAAAACGCAGTGTTATATGTGTAATGGCTTGTTCAAGGACGGAGAATTGGGCAAGTATAGCAACAAAGACCTACTTAAATACCAATGCAAGTGATTTTTTGTACAAAAGGCACTGACATAGCTTAATCATTTTATATCTCCTCTTATAAATAAACAAATTAAGATCTAATTAAAACTGCGTTAAAGACGAGAGTCGCTTTACTGAAATAATTGATCAAGTAAATTTTGGCCACATTTACTTGAATTGCAGAGCGGTGATGTTGTTTTTGACGGAGACTGTTTCGAGAAACATATTTGACCAGCGCTGGCTGGAGTGGGGAATATATGAAATCAACAGCAAGGTGAAGGTCCTCAGAAGGAGTTTTGATCAAGTTTACAGAAAGTCGCAGCTCACTGAGGATAACAAGTTAATCCTGTAAGTTATCAAGTTAAGTAAATGAGAAGTTACTAGTGATATTTGATAAACAGTATATTTGTTCATGTATTGATCGATTGATTACAATGACGTGACTTGGTATTGCACATTTCTGCCTTCTTATTTTCGAAATCTTTTGGTTAGGTGAGGTTTCACTCAAGAGCAACATCCAAAGTCAGTTTGTTTGCTTTATGTTCGTCATTGCCATCTATGTCATATACTGTTTGGATAGCCACCAGGAAAGAGACCAGGAAACTTATTGATTTGAGACTTTTAGAAGCATTTGTTTGCACTGTGTACCCCCGAGAAAAAGAATCCCTTTTTAACCTCAGTGCTGAAAATAAGTTTTTTTAACCGAAGTCGGACTGAAATATTCTACATGAACTTCATCAGTGCGTGTCCTGTTTCCAGTGAAGGTCATGAAGTGGGTGTGGTCTACTTCAGATGTGGATACTCCCCTAATGACTACATCACAGAAGAGGTAAGTCCAGTGGGTGACTACACTTTTTGCCGGTACTGTCGGTTGTTACATCGCCGAACCGTATCGTCCCAGCATCGTCACTCCCGACTGGTAAAAATGCTACACATGAAGTTCACCCAAAAACTTAACTGTGAATAGCGGGTCCTGATATTGAAATAATTTCAATCGTCATCCAAATCGTGAACCAAATGCAAGTCCCTGAAATTATGACGAAGTTATCAAATTCATTTTGCGCAAAAAATCTAATTGGAAATTCCCATCAATGTAACTAATCTATCAAAGTACCCAGACTCTGATTTATTGTATCAAATACTCCATGAGAGCACATTTTTTTGTTTTACATGTGCTGTTTTTTTTTTTTTTTTAATAATTACCCATAGTTATAACATGCACCAACTGTATGTACATGTAGGACTGGACAACCAGACTAAGGATAGAAAGGTCCACTGCCATCAAGTGTCCCAACATCTACTATCATCTGGCAGGTGCTAAAAAGATACAACAAGAGCTTGGCAGGCCAGGAGTGGTGGAACGGTTTATACAGGATTCCGAGGCTGTGAAGAGAATTAGAGCAACTTTTGCTGGCATGTACTCCCTAGAAAGGGTAAGAGAGAGAGAGAGAGAGAGAGAGAGGGAGAGAGAGAGAGAGAGGGGCATAGGCCAAAATGTGACAGTATTCCTAGATACAAGATTTTTTTATTGAGATTTTAAATTAAGTGCAAGCATAAATTTTCAAAATGATAAAGGCTTAATGATGATCAGGTGTGAGTAATTAGTGTAGTTTTTCAATTTTTTAATTAAGTATGTGACGACCAATATTTTCCAGACAGTACGTGTTTGCTTACATGATTTACTGACAAATTGCTTACAATATTGAATACGCAACCGTGTTGCTCCATCAAACCTAGTTTACACAGATTTTTTTCATAAAAGATTGAATCACATAAAGAGTTAGCTGATAAATATGATATATATATATATATATATATATATATATATATATATATATAGTAAGATATCGAAATATTACTAACACCCTTAATTCTCAAGGATGCTGAGGGCGATGCTGCTGTTGCCATGGCAATGGAGAATCCATTCAAATATGTTCTCAAACCTCAAAGGGAAGGCGGAGGTAAATACATTCTCATGATCTTCATGTAACATCAACTTTGTGAGGCTAAATGATAATATAAACACTGGCAAAGAATTAAATCAAGTACTTTCTTATAAGCACCAAGATTGAGTGACAATCTTCCTAGAAATCACATGGACAGTGGCGGTTTTAGAGGGGGGGGCTTCCCTTCCGCGGACCCCTCCCCCTTCAAATAATCCTGGATCCGTCCCTGCAGGGACTCTTGGCAAATGTGGCTTCCTTGAGGAACTCTTGCATTTTGATTGCGATACAGACAATTTACATCCAATTTTTGACACTAAGTTTGAATTCTTCGTAATATCTAGCTGGATCTCCAGACATTTCAATATTGTTAAAAAAGGAAAAGAATATGCCATCTTGTAACATACGACTATAAATCACATAGCCTTAAAAGCATTTACATCTTAAATTATTTACTTTTTACGTAAATAAACAATAGATCAGAAGTAGTATAGACAGCATGAAAAGCTGAACAAATTATGATAATCATTTTCATTTTCATAAGTGAACAAATGTCAGAAATACAAACATGTGATCATGATGGTTGTTGAGGAATATTGATAATACCGAAATGAAATTTCGTTACACACAGGAAACAATTACTTTGGAGAAGATGTCAGAAAGGTGTTGAGGCGTGTGCTAGACAGTGATGAGAGAATGGCGTACATTCTGATGGAGAGGATCCATCCTGTGCCTTTCCAAAACTACGTACTGCGTGCTGAATCTCCTGTACAACCCAATACCATGCTCAGTGAATTGGGAGTGTTTGGGGTGCTTATTGGGTGAGTGAATTGGAGTCAAGTAAAAGAATGGTAATCAAATAAAGTTTTTCTGTACTGAAACACTAAGTAACATCAGTCATACACGGCATTTCGGTCCACCACCCAGTCATGTGGCAACTGTGGGCCTGGTCACGTGAACGGTGATTACACATCAGAGTCCGACGCACAGTTATAAAAAAACTGATGTTCTTTAGTCTCTAAGTAAAGAATGCTTCTATTCTTTTTATCTTATCTATAGATCATGAACCCCCCTTGCATAGTAAATAAATGATATTTCTTTTCTTGTATTTCTCTTACAGGACCTCTGACCATATCATCACTAACAAACAGTGCGGGCATTTACTGAGAACCAAAACATCGGACATCAATGAAGGCGGCGTGGCGACAGGGACTTCTGCTTTAGACAGCCCGTATTTAGTATGAAGTAACAAAATTTCCTACGGTCAGTAATATGTGAAAGACTACGCTCATTTTAATACAAAGCTTGATAGAATACATACTGCTGTAGGCTGTTTTTATTCATAAAGTGTGCTTTTAGCTACGGGCTGCCGGGCTACTTGTTTTCCCACTGCTGATTTTTCACAAAACAAGTCATCGCTGGCTTCCAATGGACAACATACTACAACATGTTGTAATCCTCATAGATGATAATGGATCTCAAGTGGACCAAAAACATAAAGAAAGGTTTCTTGAAATTGCGCTTGGATGCAGCTGTTTAATGATCGAAGGGGGCATTAGATAGACACATCGTACTAGTTGGGTCGGTCCAACTTTGCGGGGACACTTGCTAAGTGTGATCGGTTTTACTGAATGGCGCGGCTCTTCAAGCTGAGTTAAAAGTTAATTTCCCCCTAACTTTGCGTGGGTTGAACGACAAGAGAAATGGTGGATGAGCCCGATTGTGGTAGTTGAGGCGGTCACAATGTGACATCGTCTGACACATTCCAATGACCTACGATAGTAGCATCTCTTGCATTGCCATGAAGTGTACATGTAATGTTTGTGCCCTCTATCAGAATGGCAGTTACTACAGACAAATTTTCCAATAGCCAGAGAAGCAAATGACCGTGTATTTATCTAAAGACATATCTGAGAATATCCTGTGAAAAATCTGTCGCCCTGGTAAAGGGTAT